CTCCCCCACGGTCAGACTTGACTATCTTAATCTTTAATATCTTAAATTTATCCAATACATCTTTTCTTTCTTTGATTGGATAAATATAGCCATAATGGGAGTAATCATTTGTGAATGTTATGAACAAAACATAACCATCCACACTCTTTACAGGAAAGCTGACCACAGATGTCTGTGTGAATAATTTATAAAATTCCTGCGCTTCGTTTGTCATCTTTCTTTACATACTTTCCTTTTATGCATTCTCTGCATTGTTCTTAATCTGAGAGCTCTAATGGAGGAAGAATATCATTCTTAACTTATCTTTCTATTCTCCCCCTCGAAATATGGCCTAAATGACAGTGCCATAATTTCGACAATGCATCATGAGCTCTCTTATGCCATCATTTTCAGAGTAACACTCTGTCACTAGCTGCTTTATCAGCTGGGTACCATATGTCTTTGAAGAGCCAGTGAACTGACTCTTTATTCTATCAAGGTACTCGGTGACCGTGTCACACTCTGGGATGGAGCCCACAATTGCAGGTTCAATCATGTTCTTTATCACAGCCAAACATTTCTTGTTGGCAGTGACCCACTTCCTATGCACAAAAGTCATAGGACTATCTTTTTGGGATTTAAAATCCCTCTCTTTAGTTGTTCAAGTGGCATCATTCTCTTTTGTCTCCCTCACCGGTGCCACAAACTCAGTGGAACACGGTGAGGTGACTACCCAGTCCACCTTAGACAAGATGAAAACCAGGTCAAAACTTTTCTTAACATAAAATAACACCATTTGCATGCCTTGATTCCAATGTTGGTCAAAATCAAAATATACAATTATTCTTATACACTAATTCTACATTACCTTTGGGCAGAAATAGAATTAATGCATAAATCATTAACTTTCACAACTGTTCTTACACACTAATTCTATATCACCGTTGGGCAGAAATAGAATTAATGCATAAATCATTAAAATTAACATATGTTTTTATACACTAATTCTACATCACCGTTGGGCAGAAGTAGAATCAATGCATAAATCATTAAAATTACGATATTGTTATTAACAACGTTGGTCAGAAAATAACAACATCATAATCATGTCAAATGTCTTTTTCTCCAATTAAATACCACATTGGTTCAAAATAACTGGAGAATCAATAATTTCTTTAGCAGCGGAAAAACAGAATCAATAATTTCTTTAGCAGCGGAAAAACTTTCTTTTTCTCCAATTAAATACCACATTGGTTCAAAATAACTGGAGTATAAATAACTTTTCTTTGACTGTGGAAAAACTCTCTTTTTCTTGAATTTTACCCACAGGGAAAATTGCTTTTTCTATTTTCTTTAATCCATTAATCAATTTCCAGGAAATAAACATTTACTGGAAAAACTTTCTTTTTCTCCAGTTAAATATCACGTCGGTTCAAAAACACTGGAGAATATACTTTTTCTTTAGCAGTGGGAAAAAATATTCTCAATTTCTTGAATTTTACCCACAGGTAAAATGCCTTTTTTATTTTTCTTTTTGAGCCAATTTGCATTTTCAATTTTCCTGAAAACGAAAAAAGGAAAATACGGGCTCATTTCTTTCTTTCTCGGCCCAAAACCGGCAAAAGCCAGCTCGGCCCGCCTCTCCGCGCGCGCGTAGGACGCACCCAGGCCGCAACCTGGGCCTGGGCCGGCAAAGTGCAACGGTGCGCTCGCCCGCCTGGGCCAAACGACGGTCCAATCAACCGGCGCCGTTGATTTTGATCCGACGGTCGCGCGCTTGTTTCGGGCAAGTATAAAAACCGACACCGCGGCAGGTGCCCGAAACCCTAGTTCATTTTCGTCTCTCCTTTCTCTCTCTCGCTTCACCGTCTCTCTATTCCTTTCTTAGCCGCAGCGCAACCGAGTGACCGAGAGCGAGACGGTGAGCGAGCGAAGCGCGAGGAGCCAGGTAGCCATGGCGCTCCCCGCTGCCCCTCGCGGCGCCGTGCTCCCCGAACGGGTGAGCACGCCACGTCGAGCGCGCCTAGCATGCTGTTCCTTTTGGCCGAAGCCCGCGAAAGCGCGCCCAGCTCGGTCTTCTTCTTCCGCGCCGGCGAAGGGTCATCCCAACGCACGACGAGGTTGATCCATCCCCCCTTTTCCCCTTTCTTTTCCGATTTGGGTCTTGTTCCACTTTTTCTGAACTGGTTAGGGTTTGGATCTTCCCCTTTGGATTTGAGTTGGATTTTCTTTCTTTTCTTTTCGCTTGTTCATCCGAAATGGGGATCTAGGGTTAGGGTTCGGGTTCCGACCTCTGTTCTTTTTCTTTCTTTGGATTTCCTTTCTTTCTTCTCGGATTCAACCGGTTAGGGATGGGGATTCGTTCTAGGGTTAGGGTTTCGACTTCTTTTCATCTTAAGGCTGAAACCTTTTCTTTTGCTCCTTTCTTTAACCCAGTTAGGGTTAGGGTTCAAGTGCCGAGAGCCCTTCCTTTTCTTCTTCCCCGAGCTTTCTAGCGCAGGTTAGGGTTAGGGTTCTTGAGATCCTTTCCCCTTCTTCTCTAATCCGAACACGGATCTATTCTTTTCTTGCCGTGCGCCGGTGAGAACGGCGGTGCGACATCCTTTCCCCCGCGCGGTGGCGGTGGCGGTGGTGACCGGTAGACAGTGACGTCCGCCACCCCGGTCTCTCTTTCTTTCTTTCTTCTTTTACTCGTTTAGGGTTAGGGTTACACAGAGGCAACCTGTCTCTGGTACCATTGTTAGAATCGATGGTGTACCTCTCAGAATCAGTGAGATCCGGAAGGCTCCTCGCCTGGTTCCTCTCAAGCACGCTGGCTGCAGCCTCATGAACGCCGGCAGTGCCACACAGTGGTGAGGAGGCGAGGTGGCGATCTGTGGAGGTCCAGAGGGGGGTGGTGTAGACTGCGAGGGGGCGATGATGTCGCTTCGGTGGGTACATCCTGTCATTGGCAAAGACTTCTTTAGGATCGGATTAGTGTTTTCTCTGAGGGTGGGTGGCGGCTCTGTTCAACCTCGTGACCCGAGCCCGCCTCCCCTCCTCTATATATATATGTCTTTGTCAGACAGGGCCCACCAACCAAGTTAGGTTAGGCTCCCCGATCGTGGAGAAGCGAGAGGCAAGGGCTCAACAGACCTGGTGGAGATCAACTAACACAGCTTGGGTCAAGCTGGCTTTCGAGGGGGAGGGAATGTCAGGACCTATAAGCGGACTCGGGCCAAGGAGAAGGCGGCCAGGTCTGTCAAGGCGGACGGAACGCCAACACCTGACGGAAATCGGACAACAGGAGGAACGGCAAGTCTAACAGTGAAAAGGGTGGGGTGAACTCTGTAATCTGGATTGGCGGTTGAGGTGTGCCTGTAGGGCGGTTGGTGTGGGCCTTGGGCCCAGTTGTCAAGATGCGTTGCGCCTGCTATAAAGGGCGTTGTAAAGGACTGAATCTGTTAAGAAATAACAGAACTCTGAACATCGCCTAAAGTTGCGATTCCCGGTCTCAATTCTGTTCGTCTCGTCCCTTTCTCCTGCTGTTCTTCCTTCCCCGAACTCTACTCCGGTGAAATCCGTCACGATCTCCAGAGGGATCGTGACTAGCCCAGCCGTTACCGTAAGCTGGACAAGAGGTCCACGGAGTGCACAAACTCTGTCATCCGCTCAAAGTCATGCTAAACCACCATCTCGTTGTCTTAGTATGTGGCATTTGCTCCACGGCGACGGCCACGTACACATGAGCTGCGTGGAAAGGCTGAGCAGAAACTATTATTATTATATGCACGTCGCCACGGTAAGCCGGATGAGCAGAGCAATGTCACACAGCATCGCCACCTACCCGGTACGAATATTGCTGATCAAGTAGGGATGGGGGAAAGATGACAATTCACAACGCAAAGTTGATGCTCAGAGCCGGATCCCATTTTGTCATCGATGACGTTGCCACATCGCTCTCACTGGGGCTCCACACACTTTATTGAGCGCGAGCGCGAGCGCGACCCGTCCCCGGCCCGCAGGTAGCCATTATTTCGGCACGTGCGTCCGTCGGTCGTTCATTCATCGTCTAATGTTCAAAGCTGAGTGGCGTTGCGAAATTGGCATTCTGTACACTTTCACATGTGGCGGGCGTCGTGTTACCATACATCCATGAGTAGTAGGACAGGTCGGACCGCAGTAGACCCCTCTTTTCCACAGGTAAAATCGTGTGTTCCATTGCGTACTCTTTGTCCACCATAAATCATATGTAGCTCAAATCCTTTTGACCAGCTCAACATTGCGTACTGAGTTCAGAGTTGTCCACCTAATAAATCATATGAAGGCCATGTTAGGTAGCGCTCGTGGTCGTGGAGCAGCTCTACGACTCCATGTACCGAGTGGGATAGAAAGCGTCCGCTCCTTTCACGAATCGTGACTCTAATACAGGACTTCTCGGAGGAAGTCTAAAAAAGTGGGTTTTGCTTCGCTCCTCCATTTGGGCGCTGATGGTTTATACGTCTGGTAAGCCAGCTGATGCTGTTTTGTTGTGAGAAGAAAATATTGTACTATGACTGATAAGTTAGACTAATAAGTTCAAACGAACAAGGTGTATATGTGCGTAAATGTATTTATAAAGATGGACATATTTGGTGTATGTATGTGTTATAGAGAAAATTTGGCTTATGCTGAAATTTGTCACGAGATTGTTTCCATTAGTTCTCAGTAGAAATCTAGTTTATGCTAAAATATTATAAGAGAAAAACAGTGTTTCATGTCTAAAATTTAATTTATGTTAGATGCTTATGCTGAGATATTATGAGAGAAAAATATTATTCCTATATCTGAAAAGTAACTCACGTGAACAGGATGAATGTCAACAGGCAGCTGCCAGCCAAACCAAACGTGGACTCGCATGCAGAAAAGGCCTCGCGCGTGTACAATTTATATATATAAAGCGTCACGAGATTGCTTCCATTAGTTCTCACAGCAGAAAGGTAGTCACTGTCCGCCACTCCACTAGCCAACGCAACTACGCAAGCAATCCTTCGGTGGGGAAAATGGAGGCCGCCGCCGCCGCCGCGACGGGGCTCGCCCAGAGACCGGTTGTGCTGTACCCGTCGCCGGGGATGGGCCACCTGGTCTCCATGATCGAGCTTGGCAAGATCCTCGGCGCGCGGGGACTGTCCGTCACAATCGTCGTCGTCGAGCCGCCCTACAACACGGGCGCCACGGGGCCTTTCCTCGCCGGCGTCTCCGCGGCCAACCCGTCCATCTCCTTCCACCGCCTGCCCAAGGTCGAGCGCCTCCCGCCCGTCAAGTCCAAGCACCACGAGGCGCTCACCTTCGAGCTCGTCCGCGTCTCCAACCCGCACCTCCGCGAGTTCCTGGCCGCCGCGTCCCCGGCCGTGCTCGTCGTCGACTTCTTCTGCAGCATCGCGCTGGACGTGGCGGAGGAGCTCCGTGTGCCCGCCTACTTCTTCTTCACCTCGGGCGCCGAGGTGCTGGCCTTCTTTATGTACCTCCCGGTGCTCCACGAGCGGACCACGGCGAGCTTCCAGGACATGGGGGAGGAGCTCGTGCACGTGCCGGGCATCCCGCCGTTCCCGGCGACGCACTCCATCCTGCCCATCATGGAGCGCGACGACGCGGCCTACGACGGCTTCCTAAAGGGTTTCAGAGACCTCTGCCGCTCCCAGGGCCTCATCGTCAACACGTTCCGCTTGCTGGAGCAGCGCGCCGTCGAGACCGTGGCCGCGGGCCACTGCACGTCCCCCGGCCTCCCGACCCCGCCCATCTACTGCATCGGGCCGCTCATCAAGTCGGAGGAGGTGCTGGGCAAGGGCGGCGAGGAGTGCCTGGCGTGGCTGGACGCGCAGCCCAGGGCCAGCGTGGTGTTCCTCTGCTTCGGCAGCATCGGCCGATTCAGCGCGGAGCAGATCAGGGAGGTGGCGGCCGGCCTGGAAGCCAGCGGGCAGCGGTTCCTGTGGGTGGTGCGGGCCCCGCCCAGCGACGACTCGGCGAAGAAGTTCGAGAAGCCGCCGGAGCCGGACCTGGACGCGCTCCTCCCGGAGGGGTTCCTGTCCCGGACCAAGGACAGGGGCCTCGTCGTCAAGTCGTGGGCGCCGCAGCGGGACGTGCTGGCGCACGCGTCCGTGGGCGGCTTCGTGACGCACTGCGGCTGGAACTCGGTCCTGGAGGCGGTGATGGCGGGCGTGCCGATGCTGGCGTGGCCGCTCTACGCGGAGCAGCGGCTCAACCGGGTGTTCCTGGAGAAGGATATGCAGCTGGCCGTGGCTGTGGAAGGGTACGACAGCGACACGGGCCTCGTGGCGGCCGACGAAGTTGCTGCCAAGGTGCGATGGCTCATGGACTCCGATGGCGGGAGGAGGCTCCGGGAGCGCACGGTGGAGACCATGCGGCAGGCCAAGGACGCGCTGCGCGAGGGCGGTGAGTCGGAGGCTACACTGGCCGGGCTGGTGGACCAGTGGAAACGCACTTGACGTGGTTGGTGTAGCTGTGGATTGCGGAGTAGGTTGGTTGTTGGAAGGGACGGACGTTGGCGCACACTTGTCCACTGGGAGAAAGTGGGCCAACCGCCAGTTGGTCATCATCTATGGGACTGCCGGGCTCCCGGGCTGGGTGTCCTATAACGTGTTTTTTGGAAATTGGGTAAAACATTGTAGCCGCATTTTTGTTTTTTAAAAGTACTAGCAAATATAATTTGTTACATGACGTCCGTGAATCCAATAATAAAGCTAGCTATTTTTTATTGAATTTAATACTTTAATTAGGTCTAACCTTAAATCATTTAATCTAATACTCGTAATAATGACAGTGCAAGATCGCCCTTGCCTATATGGCTCCGTTCGCTGGTCTGAAACTTGGCTGAAACTGGCTGGAAAAACATTGTTCTGACTGAATTATTGTGAGAGAAAAACACTGTTCTGGCTGAAAAAAGAAGCCGAACAAGTCGAATATGGGGTAAGCCGAACGGAGCCATGCAGATGTACTATATTGTTCTTTTGGTGCAATACCTTTGCTTTCACTCTCAATTCTTAGGCCGTCTCCAACAACACGAGACTCGTTACGAAACCCAAATCCAAAATGGGTCTCCAACATAATACATATAGCCTCCAACACAGTATCTATATGAAAGACCCATTTTAGGTGCCAGGAGAGGCATAACCCAAATATGAATATCCTTTCTCCTATAGACCCATTTGTAGAAAGGGTTGTCTTTTATATTTTATTGTTGGAGAAAAACAAAAATAGCTATTGAACCCTTTGTCTGTAACGCTACTCAAAAGATGAATTAATCTTATATTTTAGGTCGCGATTGTTGAAGATCATCTTATGGTTCTGAGTTTAAAATGGGCTACAAGGAGTATGGTGCTTGCACACACCGGTCGCGTTCGATGTAATTCAGCACGTGAATCAGAGACGGCTGATAAGAACTGGCGACGTGGCACCATGAACAGCCTGAGATTGGTCCTCAATTCGTTAAATAGAGATTTATTTATACGGAACGTAAACAGGAATCATTCAGTGAGTGCAAAGTTGCGAGCTGCATTGATTTCTGAAAGTCGTAGAAAATTAATTGCACAATGAAATGCAGTTGGATTAATCCTCCTATTCCTATGCACACTTTAGATAAAGTTTTTAGATGTGGAATTGCAAGGTAGACCTTATATTATATGGATGCTCTGGGTGGTAAGCAATACATACCAATAATAAATGGATAAGTACCCTCTTAATGAAGTATGTGTTGAGCGCGTTGGTGGAAAAAATAAGGGCGTGGCTAGCGCTCGGACGTCGGACGCCCGAGCCGTTGCCGCCTGTCTCGTGTCCCGCGCCTGCCCGTCCACGTCTCGCCCATTGCGCCCGCCCACAAGCTCGTGGGGCCCACCTGCGCCAGTAGGGACCGCCTCCGTCTTCCCGTGCCTGACACCGAGGTGAGACAGCTGAAAGGCAAGGAGGGAGATGCAACACTCAATCTAATTTTGAAACATCCAGATACAATAATTACAACATACGTCTAAAAACAAATGAAACATGCGTCTGAAACACTTGAAAAAACACCTGAAAAACACTTAAAACCATTATAAACATACGTAACATCTAGATAAAACACTTGCATTGTATGTATGAAAACATATGCAACATCCAGATAAACACACTTGCAACATACGTCGGAAAAAAACATATGAAACAATTAGAATATGAGCTTGCAACATACGTGTACAACCATTGCAACATGTGCAACATCTTGATCTACTTTTGCGCAATGAAACACTTGCAATATACCTCTGAAACATTTGAAACACTTGAAACGGAAGCTTGCATCATGCGTTTTCACCCTTATTCCATACGACACAGCACGGAGCGGGGGACAGCTGGTTCCGGACATCCGGTAGCCGAGGATGGTGGTGTGACCTAGCAGCGGCCAGGTGCACCTACGCCTGGCCTGGGCCTGGCCAGCGACGCCCCCCTCTCCTGGGCGCCTGGCCTGGGTGCGTTGAAGGATGGAGCACGGGACGCGCCGCTTCACTTGCGGAGCACGCGCATGTAGCTTGGAGGCAGAGGGCGAGGCGCCGGCGACCGGGTCCGGCGGCAGCTGCAGTTGGTGGGGCGATTGGCAGCGTACCTCACGTGGAGGATTCCTCCTCTCTGCGAGAGACAGAGGTGCCGCGGGGATGGGGGGCGCCGCAGAGGATGGCAGCGGCGGCACGCTGGAGTGGGCGGCGACGCGAGATGGAGATGGCAGCGCGGCGGATTGGGACGGTCGGACGGCTGTACAGTGCCGTGAAGCCGCAACGCACGGGCATGGAGCGGGGGGAGACGAGCTTTCTGTGGGGATTTAATTTTTTTTTCAGGGAGCGGCGCATGCGGTAGTGAGTAGAGCAAGGCATCCGGCCTTCCGTAATTTATTCTTGATGGTAGCATTATGGAAAAAATAAATGCATATTCATGCTATTATTTGGGTACCTACGCTAAATAGTAAATAAAGCAAAAAAGTTCACTTCTTAATTTATTCTTGACACCCTAGAGAATCCATAGCGAGCTTGAACCATAGCAGCAAAGAGAAGAGGCAACGAGGATACACAATGCCTGTCATTAGGCACCTAATGCCTGTCACTAGGAGCAAAGCCTCTGATGTTAGATCCTATCTGGCGAGGCTGAACGAAGTTTGACAAGCGAAGCGTAGAATCCATCTTTGATGTTGATCAGTGCCTCATGTCTTCCTTTCTCCACTATCATGCCATCTTTGAGAACTGCAATGACATCAGCGCCTTTGATTGTCGATAGACGGTGCGCCACCATAACCGTGGTCCTGCCAACCATCACATGATCCAAGGCATCCTACACAGTGCGCTCAGACTCAGTATCCAGGGCGCTTATTGCCTCATCAAGCAGCAGTATCTTGGGATCTTTCAGTATAGCCCTTGCGATGGCTACCCGCTGCTTCTGGCCGCCAGATAGCTGCACCCCTCTTTCCCCAACGCTGGTGTCATATCCCTGGGGAAGGCTTGAGATGAACTCATGTGCATCGGCTAGCTTTGCCACCTTGATGAGCTCCTCTTCCATGACTTCCCCGTGCTTTCCGTAGGCTATGTTGGCACGGATTGTGTCATTGAATAGCACAGGCTCTTGGCTCACCAGTCCCATCTGACCCCTCAGCCAATTTATCTTTAATTTCTTAATATCCATTCCATCCAGTGAGATGGTACCTGAATCAGGTCTATAGAATTGCTCTAGCAGAGCGATTACTGTTGACTTGCCGCTGCCACTCTCTCCAACAAGGGCAACAGCCTGCATGGAACCATAATGTAAGACATTATTGAAACCATAATGTGAGTAAGACATTATTATATTATCATAGAAATTACGATATTGCAGAGGGATATAAATAGGCTAACCTTTCCAGAGGGAATATGCAGTGTAAAATCGCTGAAGATTTGATCATCAGGGCGGGTTGGATACTTGAAGCTGACATGTCGGAAATCGATGTCACCCTTGACCTCTTCTAATATCAAACCTTCATCGCTACCTGAGTCAATTTTCGACTTACAGTCTAACAAAGCAAATATGGATATAGTTGACTCCCTGGCCCTTTTGGAATCAGAAGCCAGTGCACTTGTTTCAGATATTCCAACTGTTGACAACATCAATGCAAAGAAAACCTGCAAGACATAACCACATGAGTTAATTTATTAAAGTACAAATTACCAAAATTATTATGTCATTCTCATTTAGATCGCCAAACTATGAAATTGTATATCTATCCCCCTAAACTATTTAAGTACTCCAGTCCTGGTCTAAAGCAACCACACTGCTTCGTCGTGGAACCGATATATGGGTCCATAACTCATTATTACAGGGTGATTCCTAAACTATCATGTGATTCTCACCTAGATCCCCAATCTATGAAATTGCATATCTGGCTGGGTCCCTATAATCTATTAAATTACTCCAATATAATCTCGGTCCAAAGCATCCACTTGTCTTCTCCATCGATTAAGGGACACACTCGCCTTGCTCCGCTCCGCTCCATCAGCCACCACGCTGCAGCTACAAGGAGCTCGGTGTCACATCCAGATGCATCAAGGCTATTATGTAACATCTCTAGGGACATACTGGACAACTTCACGATGACGAGGAGCAATTGGCCCCTGTCCAGCCATGCTTGCAGGTAGCATCAAGAAGTCCTTGCTAGACAAGATGAGAAGAAGACACAAGATCAAGAATGAGCAAAGGCTCAGAAGCCTATCCCCGCAAGCTGAGCTTTGATGAATGGAACGTGAAGGGATTGCTTTTGGATCGAGATTGGGTATTTGAATAGATTAGGAACCTTTATATGTTCATAGCATAGGGACTTAGACAAAAATCACAAAATAGTTTAGGGACCGCCTGCGTAATTTTGACCAGCGGATCCACAATTGGTTCCACCCTAAAATGCCACGTTAGCTAATGGATTGTGGCATGGCTGCTTTGGATCGCAATTGGGGTACTTAAATAGTTAAGAGACCAAGATATGCAGTTTCATAATTTGGAGACCTAAATCAGAATGGTGTAATAGTTTAGGGACTACCAGCATTTGTTAATATTTTATAACAAGGAGTGAAATTCTAATCTAAAGGTAAAAAACACTGTTCTCATGCGTGTTCGAGAAAAGAAAGGTAAAAATACTTTTTAAATAATGCATTTTTACCTTGAAAACAGCACTAAAAGTAGATTTTTCAAACAGTTTAACATGGAGGATGCATATGTATTCTAAAAGTCAACCATACATCATAAACTTTATAAATAAGACCAAGCTTTCCCTTGATAATTAGAAAATGAATGCATATGTATCGTTCAGTAATTGTTTCCAAAAGTATATTCTTAAAAACACCCAGATTCAATAATTACTACCTTGGCATCTTCACTGAACCCTTTCAAGAATCTTATTTGTGCATAACCTTGAAGACCCACCAGTGGAATTACACAGATAATGATTAAA